TCATTTTCTTCGGTTATTTTAGCAACATGCTTTAACAAACCCGACAACTCGTCAACTTTCGATGTAGTACTTGATTGACCATCATATTGGCAATACTCATCTTCGTTGAGCCACTTGAAATGAGTGCAATCGTTAGTACAACAGAAGAATAACCGACCTAAGTTTTTAGTCCTCTTTTCAACCTCCATGCATTTCTGAATTCTCTTGCCGCATATTGGGCTCGATTTCTTAATCGGACAATCCAATAAGTAGTGGCCCGATTTCCGGCAACCATGACAAATCCCTTTATTCTTTCCCCCATTATAATCTGCTGATGCAGCCAAAAAAAATAAAAAATAAAATCAAGAACGAACATTTATGCTTACAGAACCGTGAGAACTTATACAAATGGTAGTTAAGCAACAAGACATATGACATAATTACATCTTCAAACATTTACATACCTTTCAAGAATACTTTAAGCTAATTCTATAATCAAATAAAGATATAAAGACGATATGTTCTTATCTATCATGTTAGAAGAATCAAAGAGCTCGTTCTGTAAAAGTATTTCCAAGGTAACAGATGCTATCCACAAATTTCTGTAATCATCACTTTAAATAATTGACTCTCTTCACAAAACATTATCAAATGGGAGGGACAGTGAGCCTTATTTTTAACAATTGATGATGGTCTTAGTCTATCTCGGATGAGGCATTATTGAATTCAATACAGTTTAAGGAAGGAAGGAATGAATGAATGGATCAAAGGCTGAAGAAGTAAGAAAAGTTATCAATCCATTTATCCCAATAATCCACATTTCTGACAATTAAAACAACCAGAGGCTATAACAAACGATACCAACAGATTTCAAAATAAAAGGCAGCATATGTATAATAAAATCACCAAAAAATTTTCTCAATTCTTCACATCTTTACCAACAAATTTCATAAAATAAAAAGGCAGCATATATATTATAAAATCGCCAAAAAAATTGAATACATATATAGAATGCAACAGATTTCTAAAGCAATAACAAAACTCA